AAAGTTAGTGCCACGCATCTGGACAGCTCAATCAAAAGACATTGTCAGTTTCATATGTACAAGATGCAAGGTTCTGGGTGTGGGGCGTGTGTGGAAGAACTAGCTGTGGCTCCTGAGCTCAGTATTCCCTTGTCTCAGAACCCACATGAAGATGAAATACCAGCGGGCCCAGAGAGAAGCAGAAATTCATTTCACCACGTTGAGGTATCACTGAAGGTCTACCTGCCGGATCTGCTCCTGAACAAATGGCAATGATAACAGCTCATTAGGGACCTGGTTAGCATTCGCCCACAAAACCTTTTTCTGCTTCTTCAATCCCGTAGATGTCACTCAGATATTCATTGTTGCCACAAGCTTTTTTTTTAAGATTTATTTATTTTATTTGAAAGGTAGAGTTACAGAGAGGCAAAGGCAGAGAGAGAGAGAGAGAGGTCTTCCATCTGCTGGTTCACTCCCCAGATGGCTGCAATGGCCGGAGCTGTGCCGATCCAAAGCCAGGAGGCAGGAGCTTCTTCCGGGTCTCCCACATGGGTGCAGGGGCCTCAGAACTTGGAGTGTCTTCTACTGCTTTCCCAGGCCAAGAGCTGGATCAGAAGTGAAGCAGCCGGGACTTGAACCAGCACCCATATGGGATGCTGGCACTGCAGGCAGCGGCTTTACCCACTACTCACAGTGCCAACCTGCCACAAACTTCTAAAAGAGGAAATGAGGGGCATAAATACAGAACAGAATAGAAGACAAGACTGATTTTTTTTTAATCCAAACACTTCTTTTCACTCTAAAAACCCCTTCCCTCTACTTCTCCACAAATTTCAGGCATCTCAACTTTTGTCCTCTTTCCTCAACTGGCTGTAGATATCTGGATTTCACTAAACAGAAAGTCAGCTGTTTGAATTCAGTTCTTTCCTGTGATCCAGACTTCTGAGCAGGAGGATGAAGAAAGTAGTCTTACTTTCACACCCAAAAGACAGGTCAAGAGGATGTCTGGGGCCAGTGTGGCCAGTGTTGTGGCTCAGCAGGTCATTCTGTGGCCTGAGATGCCTATATCCCATGTGAGTGCTGGTTTGAGTCTCAGCTGCTCCATTTTCTTTCTAGCTCCCTGCCAACAGTCCTGGAAATGAAGCAGAAGATGGCCCAGGTGCTTGGGCCCCTGCCACCCACATGGGAGACCCGGATGGGGTTCTGGGATCCTGGTTTTAGTGTAGCCCAGGACCTGGCCATTGCAGCCATCTGGGGAGTGAGCTGGCAGATGGAAAACCTCTCTCTCTCTCTCTCTCTCTCCCTCTCTCTCTCCTTTCTCTGTAACTCTGCCTTCCCCCCAAAAATGTGTTCTAACCATTAGAGCAATTCTATCCTTACAATTTACTCTGTCTTCAGCAATGATTTGAATAGAAAGTCTTTAAAGTAACATTCCTACTCTCCTAGACTTCATGAATGTACACTTACACCCAGGAGTGAATGGTTACTACCCCCACTCTATAGATGAAGATACTAATGTACCTAGTGCTCCCGGTTGGTCAGTGACAAAGCTGCAGTCCAGACCTGTGTCTGCTGACTCTGATCCTCATCCATTCAGCCACCATACTCACACAATGGTTTTACATGAAGCAAGGGCTACATACATTCAAGAAAAGTGTGACACTGGCACAGAGAAGAGGTGAGATTTCAGCAGGAAGGAAAGACGTCTAAGTGAGAAAAAGTCCAGACGTGAAGGGATAAAGATTTGAACAGAGGGGGTGACAGTGGGTAAAGAACTTTGGCCATTGGATGGAGGAGTAAAGAGAATTTAAAATGCCATCACATTTTCTACTCTGAGTGACAAACATCATTCATTCATCCAACTAGCAGTTATTGATGAATAGGTATTCGTACTAGATCCTGTGTTATGTCAGGTGTGATGCCAAGAGCTGGGAATAGTGGCAGGAGCAGGAATGTCGAGAACGAGAAGATGAGGGAGATTGCAGTGTAATGTCCGGTATAATGTCCAGCAGGCAGCAGAAAATACCAAACTCATTCGCCTAAAGATTTGGGCAATCAGAGACCACCAGGGGGCAGCACATGCCCAGTAATCAAAATCAAACAAGCCCAGCTACTACTATCTGAAAAAGGATTAAAACAAAATATCATTTTCTTAAGTATTTTTAAAAGTTCAGAAGTAATGTTAATTAGACACTTGTTTTTTAAAAATGTTTAAAAACAAATTTGTTTTAGTAGAAAGGTATGTGCATTAACATTGCTTAGGGTTTCCGTGCATACTGCATACCCAGGATGAGGGTCAGTCTTGACGCTGGACACATATTCCTAACATTGCCATGTTCAGAGTTACTGTCAGGGAAGAGAATAGCGTGGGAATCCTGAGGTTTTATTACTGCTCAGTGAGATGAAGGTTTTGTTAGGTAATTAGCGTGTTATATTCCTGTGTGTTTCATGTGGATTTCCTCCTATATTTAGCACAATTCTCCTACCCTTGCTTTCTCTCCCACCTCTTTCTTTGTTTTATCCCTGATACTAGGTGCCCCTAATAATCCCTCGCTCTCGGGTGGTTTCACCATTCTCTTACTGTTAGTTCTTTACTCTCTCACTTTCTCTACTCACAAGTCTCTTCTTGGTACCACAGCATTCTGTTAGCAGGAAGAAACCAGTGTGAGAACTTAACACTGAGCCAACACAGTGAGGGAAGACCCATTGCAGAACAGAAACAGGTCCGTCTTAATTATTTGAGAGGCAGAGAAACAGAGATTGACACACAGAGGGAGCCACCATGTTAGTTTATACCCCAAATTCCTGCAACAGCCCAAAGCCAGCCTGCGGGCAAAGCGAGGAGCTGATACAGGGAGTTGGGAGCTCAATCTAGGTGTCCCACAGGACCTACAAGAGCGCAGCTCCTTGGTCCATAAACACTGCCTCCCAGGGACCGCACTAACAGGAAGCTGGGGTCAGGGGCCTGAGCTGGGTCAAATCCAGGAACTGCTATGTAGAATGTGGACATTCTAACTGGAAACTTCACTACCATGCCCGAAAACCACCTCCAGGAGTGTTTTAGAAATAAGCAGGGGGCCAGCACTGTGGCATAGTGGGTAAAGCCACCACCTGCAGTGCCAGCATCCTATATGGGAACCAGTTAGAGACCCGGCTGCTCTACTTCCGATCCAGCTCTGTTATGGAGTGGGAAAGCAGTAGAGGATGCCCCAAGTCCTTGGGCCCCTGCATCTGCATGGGAGACTTGGAAGAAGCTCCTGGCTCCTGGCTTCGGATCAGCGCAGCTCCGGCCAACTGGGGAATGAACCAGCGGATGGAACACCTCTCTCTCTCTTTGCCTCTCCTTCTCTCTGTGTAACTCTGACTTTCAAATAAACAAATAAATCTTTCAAAAAAAGAAATAAACAGTTGGTAATTAATGCCATATTCACACTGTGGATGTGGCAGGTAGTATATGACTTGTATATTTTGTTGCACAGTTATTTATTTACAATTGTTTAGTCAGATTATGAATTAGTTCCTCTCAATTAGTCCACTCATTGTCGTCATATAATCCCAAACTATTGTAATTCTTCAGGAGTTGATCCATAGTGTAGTAACTATTTTTAAAATAGAAAATTATGTGATGAACAATCCATCCTTCAACACACGTGTCTACTTCTGGAATTTGGTTGAACTCAAGGAGTCGGAAAAGTAGCAATATGTTATCACACACAGGACAACTGGCACTGAAGCAGGGGACTGGATGGAGGAAAAATAATCCAGAGAGAGGCCGCACACCTGGCTGGGGGACGATTTTACGAAACAGCTGTGGGACAAGGAAGGTCTGAGGAGCTGCTCCAATTTAAAGAGACGTGGCAGCGTATGCACGATCCTGGATTGGATGTGGTTCACGTGCTATGTGGCTCCTCCATACTGAGCAGGCACAAACTTTTTCTTGTCTTTGGCTCCAAAACAACACAGTATCACAACCATTTGCATAGCATAGCATTTATATCATATCAGATATTACAAGCAACCCAGCGATGATCTGAAGCACGTAGGAGAATGTGAGTAGGGCATTGCAAGAACTCCACCTTTTCTTACCTTGATCAGGAACCTGAGCATCCATGGATTTTGGTACCTGAGGGTCGCCCTGGAACCAGGCGTGGAGGGATTGGCTACCGAACAACCTGGTGTTTATCTTGCTATTACCTATGGCAACCCACTAGCACTGGGTCCTTTGCATTTCCTCCCCCCTCCCACCACCCATCATCTCCTGACTTATTTAGTCAATTTCCCAACATGTAACTAATCTGATTGCGCCCCTCCCCCCACCATGGGGACATTTTCCTCGACACTGTGGACTCCAACACGAAAGGTTGGTTTGCCACCTCTGCTTCCCTCATGGACCCCTCCCAGATGTTCTCAGGGCTCTGCCTCCCCGGGCACCCTCCTCCTGCAGCCTGGGCTCTGACACACCACAAGAGGCCCCCTCCTTCACGGGTCTTTCATATTCTCTTCAGGCTGTCACCCCTCCCACCTCTGTGAGGACACACAAACACACACACATACACACACACACACACACACACACACACGTCTCCTTACCCTGCTGGAGGCAGGAGCTCTCGCTTCTTTTTGCAGACTAGTTCATCACCATTCTTTGTACAATCAAATGAAAATAACAGGAAATGTAATGGAGTAAATTCTGCAACTGAAAACATGGCAAAGTATTCAATAGCTTCAAGGTAGCAGGGTAGAATTGTGTGATATCTAGATAATCACTCATAAGCTATACTTTGAACTCAAACGATGTGACATCCATCCAAGTCCTGGAGCGTTGGTAGAAGGCATGGGATTCGGAAGTCAAAACGACACAAATTGCTCTCCTCCTGCTCCTCGGATTATAGAATGCTTAATGAGCTCCCCAGATGACATCAAGAATGCAGAGAATGTGGCTCAGGCACCCTCCATTGTAGTGAAGTCTTCTACTGATTGTGTCTTTATTAGTAAACAGATGACCCCATGGAGTTTCTTCTCTTCTCATTTCTTGGGGGAGCTTCTTGTCTCGTATTTTCTTGACTGTCTGATTGGGGACCCAAGCTCACTCTGGCATAGCAACCACACTTGTCTCTGCTCTGTTCTCTGATATTCAAGAATCCATGGGTGACTGGCGTGTCTACATGGCTCCTCTCTGACTGCTGCTCTCAGCTGTTCATCAGCATCGAAACTTCCAGATTTCTCCCAGAAGCAGGAAAGAAGGTGGGTTTTGTAGCCAATCAGATACAGGTTGACATCTGTTTAAGTATAGTGTCATCATCTACAGAATAGTGTCAAAGGCTACACTTATTTTTATAAATTTCTGTGAAGATTTGGGACAGTGTAAGTATCATGCCAGAAATAATTGGCATGTGGTTGGTATGTGATTTTTTTTATTATCATTTCTGACTTTCCTAAGCTGTAGCCCTGATAACTCAAGGCACCCATCTGCCTGGGGAAGGGAAATGAAATTTCTGCAAAAGACCACAGAACAAAATTAATGCCAACAGTAACAATAAAACGACAGACAACGTTGTTTCCATCATGCAAACTATGATTTCATTGAAACTATATACTCAAATGGCAAAACATTTAGAACTTACAAAAACGGTACAAGGCTAATTTAAATGAAGCCAAAGTCTTTCAGGCGATGCTTTTGTCACAGGGAAGGATTAGCTGAAGTCATCTATCTTGTTCTTTAGTGGAGAGGGATTAATTAACTATAGAGTTTTCTGTAGGTGACAGAGCAGGAAGATAGGGGAGGGGCCTGTGCTGCTATAGCCACATAACAATTATGTAGCGGAATGGGGGGAGGGGAGAGAGAGAGAGAGAGAGAGAGAGAGAGAGAGAGAGACTGGAGAGTGAGATGGCCACTTGCTGATTCCCTGACTGTTTCTTCTGGAATCTGTTGTACAAGCTGAGGTCAGGAGCCCCGTCTTATTGCTTCCTCCAGGGAAGAACACCTGCTTAGGCAGCCACACGCCAAACAGGGAACAGTCCATCGCGGTCAGGCAGAGAAATGCTCCTTTGAGTACCAAGTTGCACAGGCTCAAGGGCGCCCTCTGGTTCTGACTCGCTGCCTGTGTTCCCGCGGCCCCTTTCGCCTAGATCCCGCACTGCGGGTTTTACTCCTGGAAGTATTCCCCTCAACGCCAGCCCCGCAATGACCCCGGGGTTCTTCCACTCCAAGCGCATGTCCCACGTGTGGAGTGACATTGCCCCCGAGGCCGGCAGAGGTTGGCCGAGCAGGCTCCACATCCGTCCCAAGACCAGAGGCCTCCTTCCCCCCAAATGCAAGAGATGGTGTGGCCACCCCTTGCCACCTTCTATACCAAGTACCCATCTTAGCGGGTAGGCAGGGAGCGAGGCGGTGATCAGAGAGACAGACCATTTTTATCCAAACAAAACAAAAGTCAGTATTTTTAAATCCAAACCGTATTGTTTATTTATTTACTTATTTTTGGCTGGACTGTATTTAAACCACATTTGAGATTTAATTGTGGTGTTTGAGCCCCTACAGAGTGAGGGGAGGGAGGTCTCTCAAGGATCTTATCCCTTGATCAGAGTAAGCTGCTGCCACACGTACCTTGCTTGTTCATATGACGTTTTCCAACCCAACTCATTTCCGTCGACTTCCACCAAAATAAGCAGCCAAGAAATTGGAAACAGAGCCTGAACACGGCCAAGTCGTGTTCCAACAGTGCTTGTTAACATCCCATCTGTCACCGGCTCCCTCTGCCAGCACCGAGTGTGCCCCTGGTGGCCAAGGATGGGAGACCCAGGGGTAGCTGCTGGTTTCCATTTCCCTCTGTGCCGAGCAGGCTCAGCAAACGAGAGCCTCTCTCGCGTGTTATAATGGCATAGTGTTCACAGCGTCGGGTTTTATGGAAACAGGAGGAAGCATGAAGGGAGTTTGGGTCTGAGATTCCAGGAAGACTTTCTGCAGTGCTGACCGTGGTGGGACAGCCACCATTTGCACGTGGCCCAGAAGATGACAACACGGGCAAGCGTATGTAACAAGTGTTGAGTGGAGAATTACTTTGTAAACAAGGTCTGGTGCTCCATTGAATTCTTAGGACTTGGATCAAAGGAAGAAAACAAAACAAAACAAAGCAAAAGAGGAAAGGACTTAGGCCCAAGTGCTTACTTTGCACCACCTGGAAGTATGTGTAAAAGATCCGAGACACAGTTTGTGAAGCCACCCTGCCCAAGACAATGCCTTTAAATGTGCCTGGAATGTAACTGGTGTTTAATTTAAATGAATGGATTAGACATATGTATGTTTTATTTACCAACAAGACCAAATTGCTCACTAGTGTGGGATGTGTTTCTGCCCAAGTTTTGCAGGTGCCAAAGTTATCTAAAAAGAGCCCTAATTCAAAAGGGAAAACAGGAATTTTCCTACTGGCAGCTCTCATCTTGGTTAATTAGATGGTATTAGGAAGAAAAAGATTGGCCATGTTATTGAGAAGAAAGTATTATTAGAGATGGTATTATGATCTAAAAACATTTAATATCCTGTGTTCTGGTCTCTAACATGCCATCTGGAGCAGTTAGTTACTTGGGGGAAATTATAGCAAATAGACAGAAAAATTTTTAAATTGCCTCACTTAATTCATTAACAAATATAGAAACTCTTTATGAAAAATAGCATTTCAAGTGTCATTTGTGAATCAAGATTTGACAGATAACAAATACAGATAATAATGATTCATAAGACATATCTCTCTTTAGTCTCACATCTTTACTATTAGAAGTCAAGTTTAACTTCTCAGAGGCTCATTTCTCTGTTTTATAAAATAAGGATGACAGTTTTTAATTAAAAAACATACTGAAGAGTCTTTGGGGATGAAGAATTAAAAGCTGGCTATCACTACTCCACACATCTATTAGAATAAGCAAAATCCAGAGCACTGTGACACCTTCGAATGCTGGCAAGGATATAGAGCAGCAGGAATTCTCATTCAGGGCTGGTAGGCATGCAAAATGGCACAGGCACGTTGGAAGACAGGTTGGCACCGTCTCACAAAGCTAAACACACTCTTATCGTAAGATCCAGCAAATGTGCTCCTAAGTATTTATCCAAGGAGTTGAAAACTTAACAATGTCTACAAAAACCCAACATGGATTTATAGCAGCTTTGTTCAGAATTGCCCAAACTTGAACCAAGATGTCCTTCCATAGGTGAATAACTAAAGGATCATTAGTTGCCAATGGTTGTGGCGGGAAGAGAGATTATGAGTAGACAGAGCACAATTTTCATGCAGTGGAACTCTTCTGTGTGGTATTTTAATGGTGGATCGGTGGCAAAACCCTCAGGATGTGCAACATCCTAAGAGTGAACCCGAACATAATCTATGGATTTGGGATTATAATGCTTGTCAATGTGGGCTCATCAATTGTGACAAGCTATATTTAAGTGGGGGATGTTTATGCTAGGAAAGGCTTGTGTGTGGGAAGAGGGGTTCATGGAGAGCTTTGTATCTTTCTTTCAGTCTCAGTATGAACCTAACACTGCTCTAAGAAAATGAAGTCTTGGATTGGCATTTGGCACAGTGATTAAGCTGCTGCTTGGGATACCCACATCCGCTATTGGAGTGCCTAGGCTTGTGTCCCACCTCCACTTCCGATCCAGCTTCCTGCTAGTGCACATAATTGTGGTCGAGTTCAGCAGGTGATAGCCCAAGTGCTGGGGTCCCTGCCACTCATGTGGGTGACCTTGACTGAGTCCCAGGCTCCTGGTTTGTCCTGGCCGAGCCCTGGCTGTTGTAGGCATCTGGGAGTGAAGCCATGGATGGAAGATAACTCTGTCTCTGTACCTCTACCTTTCAAATAAATGAAAATAAATAAGAATTTCAGAAACAAAATAAAGTCTTTTAATAAAAACCTAGCCTCAGTGCTATACTTTTAAAATTTGTTTCTGATTTATACAAGGAAAAAGTGTTCTGATTAATTAATTACTGTTGTTTTAAAGGTAATGAAATTTTTATTATGGTAACTTTGTTTCAAAAACTCATGTTTTGGGGGCCAGTACTATGGTACAGGGGGTTAAGGCCCTGGCCTGCAGCGCAGGCATCCCATGTGGGCTCTGGTTTGTGTCCTGGCTGCTCCACTTCTGATCCAGCTCCCTGCTAATGCACCTGGGAAAGCAGTGGAGGATGGCCCAAGTCCTTTGGCCCCTGAACCCACTTGGTAGCACCGGAAGAATCTCCTGGCTCCTGGCTTCAGATTGGCTCAATTCTGGCCGTTGTAGCCGTTTGGGGAGTGAACCAGCAGATGGAAGATATCTCTCTCTCTCTCTCTGTCTCTGTCTCTACCTCTCTCTGTAACTCTTTCAAATAAATAAAACAAATCTTTTTTAAAAGCCTCATATTTTCTAACAATTAAATTGAGATGAGAAGGAAGATTGACATGTTGAAGACATGGCTCTCAAAAATAAATAAACAATGGGTAACACACCTGCTATTTACTTCCTTCTTCCTAGATGCTACAAAATGTGCTTAGGAATGAGGGAAATGTTCTGGTCCCACCAAGATTGGTCCAGCTCTCTCTCGGCCCACTGGGAAAGTAACACCACCACAGGCTTCTAGACCCAGAAGGACATCAATTTGGTAACTTACAGTGAATACTCTCTAGTTGTCTTTTGGAAATGTCTTTGGGTTGTTTTTATAAATTGGGCAGGATGGAGAACAAGAGATGGAAATTTTTTTAGTATGATTCACTTCTGGTTTTGCTAACAGAATTGCTCACCATTTTCTGGCTGAAAAAAAAAATTCACCATGCTGAAGCCTAGAATGTGATTAGAAAAGAACAGTTCTAACCTCAGACTCATAATCTGGATGGATAGAGTTTTGCTGTCAAATAAGTTCTGGAATGTTCAGTTGCTAAGAAAGCAGTAAGACCTCAGCATCTTTGAAAGTTAATGGTCATGTGACCATTGTGTCACTCTTGGTGCTGTCTGTCCTGACACGTAAGTACCGTGATATTCATAACACCACCCAGAAGAGTTTCACTGCCTTAAAAATGAGCTCCACCTGTTCATCTCCCCCTCCCTCCCTAACCCTCGACATCTGCTGATCTTTTCACTCTTTCCGTTGTTGGCCTCTTTCAGGAATGCTGCGTAGTCGGAATCATGCAGGATATAGACTTCTCAGACTGACTGGCTTCTTTCACTTAATGACATGCTTGACCCTCTACCTCCTCATGGCTTCATACTTCATTTCATCTTAGCACTGAAGATATTCAATTGTCTAGTTTTAAACTGGAAAAAAAAATCTTAGTTAAAATACTTGAAATAAAGATGTGATTTTGAACAACCAAGTTCCATGTTAAAAAGTAGTGTAGCGGGGCGGGCATTGAGTCTAACCCTGGCTAAGAGACCCATCTCCCACACCAGGGTACCTGGCCTTGACACCTGGTTCCGGGTCTTGAGTCTAACTTCCAGCTAATGCAGGTCCTCAAATAACTGGCTTCCTACCACTACCACCCATGTGGAAGACCTGGGGCATCTGAGATATGAATGAACAGATGGGAACTCTCTCTGCCTTGCAAATAAACAAATAGATGAAAGAAGTAAAAAAAAAAAAAGAGTATTTATGATTTAGATAGGAAACAAATGATACACATTCTGTCCCAAACAAAATCTTCTGAAGCAAATATATTTCAACCAGACATGTTTCAATGTGGTTAGAACAGTTCTCTGGACCCATAAGGAATGCCTGTGAGGGAAGCTTGTGTACTTCCTTGCTTTTCCTGGGTCGTATCAACAACCGTATCTGATTCTATCTGAATGGAAGAATTTGACGACAACACATCTTGTTAATTTCTACATGGGCATAATGGAGCGGCTTCCAGCTGGATTCCATAGTGCCAGGGCTCTCGCGCTGGGTTTCCCTGACTTCTCTGCTGGGTTCTTTCTCATTTGTGATGTGCACAGTTCTCCAGGTCGCCCTACTCCCCTCTCTGGGTAAGTCCTTCATGATCCTGTGTGATGAATGTTATCCCACAGCCAAAAACATTCTGCAGTTACACGGAGAGGATCCTTTTTAGGCTGTGGGACATCAATTAGTGCAAAATGTACTTTGATATTTTCGAAGATTAAATGTTCTTCTATCATTGCCTGACTTCAAAGTCCTAAGCCATTCAAGAACTTCCATAAATCATGATTGGGGTTTAACCTTTCTTTCCAGCTGGTCTACCAGCTTCCTCTCACATGAACCCACACTTTGGCACAGCTGGAACATTAGGGTTTTTTTGTTTTTGTTTGTTTTGCTTAATATCTCTGTATGTTTCTTGTTTCATTTGCAAACATCTTCGTCCCCTCCAGTTCTATTTATTTCTTATCCATCCTTCTTTCCAGGTGTCTTTAAACGCATTTCCCCAGGGAACCTTTCCCTGACACCCCATGTATCCCTGGGAAGTCCTAATTTCTGCTTTACCTGCTCTTACCTGACAGTCTGTCAGCAGTAAACTGTTACTTTTCTTATAGAGAAACTATCATATTCTGTTTCATATTTGTTACTTGTGTATACCTCTTATTTTGACAGCAATAATAGCATCTACCATTGCTTGGAAGGCGTAGTATGTGACAAGTATTAGGTAGCTAGGGCTTTATTCCTCTCACTCTCTAAAGCAAGTAATATGATCTCTACCAATAAGAAAATTGAGGCTTACAGAGCTTAAAGCAGTGGTCCAAGACCAGAGAGCTGGCAAATGGTAATGCTGGGATTCAATAAAACCTCTGCTCAACTCCAGAGCCAATTCTCTTAGCCACAGTGCTTTTACTAGATTTCATTTGTGAGTTAGATGGTGTAAGCCACATTTTTGCAGTTGAGAATATCAAAGTGTGACACTGGTATATATATATTTTTATTAGTTACTATATTTACTTGAGAGGCAGAGAGAAAGAAAGAGATCTTTCATGTACTGATTCACTCTCTAAAAGTCTGACCAGCCATGGCTGAGCCAAGCTGAAGCCAGGAGTTAGAAGCTCAATCTGGGTTTCCTATATGGGTAGAAGGGACCCGGCCACTTGAGCCATCAATGCTGCCTGCCAGGGTGCACATTAGCAGGAAGCTAGAATTAAAGCAGAACCAGGACTCCAACCCAGGTACTCCAATATGGGATATGGGATATGGGCAACCGAGCAGTCTCTTAATCACTATGTCAAATGGCCACTCCCATTACAATTCTTAAGAGGAACTGTCTAGAACAAGACATTGACAATGCCTGTAACTGGTGACAGATTCATAATGAATATATATATTTTTTGACAGGTAGAGTGGACAGTGAGAGAGAGACAGAGAGAAAGGTCTTCCTTTTTGCCGTTGGTTCACCTTCCAATGGCCGCCGCGGCCGGCGCGCCGTGGCCAGCGCACCGCGCTGATTCGATAGCAGGAGCCAGGTACTTCTCCTGGTCTCCCATGGGGTGTAGGGCCCAAGCACTTGGGCCATCCTCCACTGCACTCCCTGGCCACAGCAGAGAGCTGGCCTGGAAGAGGGGCAACCGGGACAGAATCTGGCACCCCGATTGGGACTAGAACCCGGTGTGCGGGCGCCGCAAGGTGGAGGATTAACCTAGTGAGCTGCGGCGCCAGCCCATAATGAATATAAAACATATCTTAAAAGCAACAAGGAAAATCATAACTGTCCTGTAGGAAATTGGACAAAAGACATGAACAAGCAATTTAACAAAGGTGGAATCAGAATGACCAAAAATATATAAAATAATGCTCACTAAAACTAAGAGGAATGCAAATTAAAAGAGTGAGATGCCATTTAACAATTACTAAGTAGACTAAAATTAAAATGCCTGAAAAACTCAAATGTTGAAGTATTAAGAACTTTTATGTACTAGAAGTAAGAGAAATTGGCACAGTCATTTTAAAGAGAAATTTTCTAATACCTATGTGAACTAACAATTTCATTTCTAAGTACATACCCTCAAGGAACTGTTCCAAAGATGAGGACAAGTGTGTTCACTTTGGTATGATTTAGGGAATGTATAAATTGTGGTGTACATACATATTATATATATATAATATATATTTGCTAAATTAAAGAATGATCTATATGATTTATATACATCAACATACAAATCTTGGTATCAAAATGTGAGGACATAGTTAGGAGATACCGTCTGTGAACCAGAAAGCAGATCAGAAACTAAATCTGAAACTAAATTAAATTCATCAGACTAAATCTACTAGTACCTTGGTTTTGGGTTCTCAGGCTCCAAAATTGTCAGGAGTTAATTCTTATTTACATTTTTCAAAATCAGGCTACGCAAGTGTTCTGTGTATGTAAAATCTTCAACACAAACAAATACCAAATATTATTTATGGATAATGTACTACTCATTGTTGCTACAAATAAAATGGCTGAGAAGAATTTCTTAAAGAGGAAGAAGGTTTATTTTGGCATACAATTTTGGAGGTTCACAGTGCAAGATCAGGCTGCTCCATTAGTCTGGCCTCTGACGAGAGCAGAACATATGTAGAGGGACAATCACATGGCAAGCCAGGAAGCTGAGAAAGACAGAGAGTGCACACTTCCTTGACTCTCCATGTGGTCTTTCCTTATAAAGTCATCATGATGGGGCTGGTGCCATGGCTCACTTGGTTAATCCTCCACCTGCGGCGCTGACACTCCAGGTTCTAATCCTGGTTGGGGCACCAGATTCTGTCCCGGTTGCTCCTCTTATTCCAGTCCAGCTCTCTGCTGAGGCCCGGGAAAGCAGTGGAGGATGGCCCAGGTCCTTGGGCCCTGCACCCACATGGGAGACCAGGAGGAAGCACCTGGCTCCTGGCTTCGGATCAGTGTAGCTCCGGCCATAGCAGCCATTTGGGGAGTGAACCAACGGAAGGAAGACCTTTCTCTTGGTCTCTCTCTCTCTCTCACTGTCTGTAACTCTACTAGTCAAATAAATTAAAAAAAAATAAAGTCATCATGATTTGATCATGGGTCTCCACTGCAGCAACCCAATCCAGTCCATTTACTTCCCCAAGGCTACACCTCTGGATTCCATAATTGGATGACACATCCACCCTAATCCATCACCCACTAACATTAATTTGTTAACAACAGGAGACATTGGAGCTAAAATGCCTGCATGAGGTTGGGAGCCCAATCTTCTTCATGATATAACAGATAACGTATATTGAAGCCTATGTAGGAGGGGCCAGCACTGTGGCATAGTAGGCTAAGCCTCTGCCTATGGCTCCAGCATCCTATATGGGCACCAGTTCATGTCCTGGCTGCTCCTCCTCCAATCCACCTTTCTGCTTATGGCCTGGGAAAGCAGTGGAAGGTGGTCCAAATGCTTGGGCTCTTTACCCGCGTGGGAGACTAGAAGAGGCTCCTCGTTCCTGGCTTCATATTGGCTCAGTTGCGGCTATCTGGGGAGTGGAAACAGTGGATGGAAGACCTCTCTCTCTGTCTCTCCTTCTGTCTGTAATGCTACCTCTCAAATAAATAAATAAAATCTGGGGGAAAAAAAGCCTATGTAGGAGACCCATATAAATGAATGTTAGAGGTAAAGTTACTGGGTCTCACAGTGTTACACAATTTCTCTCCCAAATAGCTATGCCAATTTCATTCCCACTTCTAGTATATGGAGCTTCTTATTAATGAAACTATTGGGATTGTCAGGCCTTTTGGAATTTTGTCAATTCGATGGGTGTGAGCTGGTATCTCATTGTTTTAACTTGTGTTTCCTTGATCCCAACAAGGTGAGCATTATTTCCCAAGATCACCTCCAGGGAAGGAGATAAAGGAATGAGGTGAAGACTTGTATTGGTTTCCTATCCGTGAACCACAAATTGCCACACTCTTGGGAGCTCAACACAACAGTCTCTGTGGATGAGAAGTCTTGGTGGCACTTGGATGGGGCTCTGCTCAGGGTCTCAGGCTGAACTCAAAGGGTCAGCCAGACGGTGTTCTCACTGGGAGGCTGGACCGGGGAAGGACCTGCTTGCAAGCTTCTGCAGGTTGTTGGCAGAGTTCGTTTCCTCAGCTGTAGGAGTAGGAGCGGCTGGTTTTGTCAAGGCAGTCATGAGTAAAGACAGTCTCTGTGTTGCGAGTCTGGCTCTTTTAACAGGCTCTCTGAACAGATCAGTCTCAAGCAAGATAATCTCCCATTTGCTAAATTTAAATTTTACTAATTAGGGACTTTAATTATATAGTAGTTCCCCTTTATCTGCATTTTCACTTTCTGTGGTTTCTATTACTCACAGACAACTGCAGTCCAAAAATATTAATGGAAAAATTCCAGAAATAAACAATTCATAAGCTTTAAATGAAGCCTCATTCTGTTACAATGAGGTCATGAACCATTCCTTTAACCAATATATCTATATTGTGTATATTACCACAGCAGTTGAGAGAACATTCACATAACTTTTATTCCAGTATGCTCTGATGACTTTTCTATTCTTATTAGTTATTGTTGCTAACCCCTTGCTGT